GGTGATGACAGAACCATGACTTCAGATCAACCACTTTTGCTTGAAGCCATTCAAGGACTTCAGAATACTCAGCAAGAGATTCTTACCACTCTTCAGAATCTCACTCACACCATGTTGGTGATGAGTTCTAACTTTGCACCGGCGCCAAACGGGAATCAAACTGGTGGTGGAGTTATTCTCGCCGGAGCGCAAAATCAAATCCAAGGAGAAGTAGGCCCCAATCAGCCTATGGCTCATGGCAACACGGCCACAGTAACACATGCTCAAACCACAGTAGGCGGTGGCAGTTTGCCCATGCCCGGGCTCCATGGCGTGCCAAGCCAAGATCCAATGGTGACTAGGGGAGTTTCTGGTGTATCTCCATCTCCTACTCCGTCTTCTCTCCCGTTTCTTGATCTCCTTCTCTGTGTTCTCTTTCGTCTCTCGATTTGTCGATCTCTCTTCCTCACCTCTCGTCTGTCGATGTTGATCTCGATCTCCCTCTACTCTCTCTCTCAGTCGCCGACTTCTTTCTTCCCTTCTCGTCTATGTTCTCTCGATCTCCCTTTATTAGTATATAATATTAGTAGTCTATTAGTATATAATAGTAGATAATATAAATCTGATAATATAATAATATAATATATAATATTATTCTTTTTTTTATTTATTCAAATATAATATTATTCATATCATATAATATTATTCATCCATTATTCATATTACATTTATATTAGCGTATAGCATAAATTACATTAATATAATACAACATATCATAAATAATATAATTTTTATGTCTAAAATAAAAAATAACTTATTTTATCATATATAATAAAATTTATTTTATATCTAAAATAATTTTTATTTGCTATTCATATAATATAACTCATCTTCATATAATAAATATATTTTTTTTAAAACAAACTATTTAACGTATCCCCGTACCCGTATCCAAATTTGGATACATATCCGCGTATCCTTCATTTTTAATTTTGAAGTGTCCGACCCGCACCCGCACCCGCACCCGTGTAACTTAGCTTTGCATTATCATGATCTAATAAGGATAGAAGTTCTTTTCTTATCATTTCATCAGCCTGCTCAATCAAAGTTGGGGGAACAAAGGAGCTCTTGTCTTCATCAGCTCTTGTCAATGAATTTTTAATTAGTTCCAATGAAGCAGCAGGAGGTCTAGGGAGCTCCCTCTGCAGCACTTTCGATCTCTTCTTAAGTAACAATTGTTGCCTCGCTTCTTTCTCAGCCTTCTCTCTAGCCATCCTGTCAGACATATCTTCTTCAATATGCTCCTCTGGTTCTTCATTATCTTCAGGGACTGGTTGGATAACTATCTGGTACTCATTCTTGGGCTGTGGAAGGTTGCTCAAACCAGAACGTAAGTTCCTTCTCAAATCAGCTTGTCTACGGAGCTCAAGTTTTGCACTTTCATGCATATCCACGCCCTCATTAATATGAAGCTCATCCCTAATTGGAGTTCCTTTTGGAGTAAGACCAAATGAATCCCTTGACGGAGTCATGCCAAGTCTTGGTGTCATACCACCATCTCCGGGAGTCACTGAAGGAGTTAACATTGGGTTTGGCGTTTGGATCTCCCTTTTCTTAGGAGTGACCCCAGAAAAATCTGAAGGATGCAGTTCTGGATTTTCTCCTCCAAGTAACGGTGCCTGAGACTCTCTCAACCTGGCCAAATTTTCAGCTTCCATCATAATAGCATCACCCTTACCTGCAGGTGTTCGCTGAGGGGTCCGTAGTGGGGTCATTCCTTGTCGTGGTGTCTGAGCATAATTTGCAAGTAGAGCACGAGTTGCACCATTCCCTTCAATGAGTTCCTCGCTCCCTGCAAGGAGATCACTGGTATAACCCATCTTCGCAATCTCCTCCAATTCATTATCTGAAATCTGTGGTGCAGGAAGCATCAGTTTTGACCTCTTCCGGACTGCTTCTGGATCATTTAGTTTGTTTGCTTGCAGTATTGCAGATGGGGCATCCTGCCTCTGCGCAATTTTATTCCTTGCAATATCCTGCTTCCTTAATCTTGCTTCCCTATCAGTTCTTTTTTCACCCTCAAGTTCTTCAATGGTGGTAGGGAACTTGAGCTGTTCCACAGGTTGATCTTCATCAGCGACATCAAAAAAGCCTGGAGGAGGCTTCTTCTCAAAGGGAATTTCAGCATTATAGTCAATACCCGTCCTCTTCCTTTTCCTTTGCCTAGTTTGAATTCCAGCTGCCTTTAGTTCTCTCCTTTTCTGCAAAGAAGCTAGCCTCCTGGCCTCTTCAAGCTGCTTTTCCCGGGCTTTCCTTTTTGCCTTCTTGCCCCTAGTGTTGGCTAACCGAGCTCGTGCTTCTGAAAGCATTTCCTTCTCATCCTCATCCATATCAACAGGGTCTGGACGCGCAGGCTTCAATTCTGGGTTTGGATCAATCTCTCCAGGGGTGGATCATCACCTGCTTCATAGTTCTCATCCTTTGCACAGGCTGCATCAAGGAGCTTCTCATAGCGTTCAAGGCATTGAGATGGAGTACGACCCACAATTGGGGCAATTGTTCTCCATTGTGTGGGCATGAGCTTAGCAAGGTGAAGCAGTTTCTCATCTTCTTCTCTGGTCCACTCAGTCTACACATAATATAAAACAAATTTTAGTTTTCTCACTTACAAAAAATTGCTTGCACTGTAATTTAGAACAGAAATCAGAAGACAAATAAAATGTCAGAAAATGTTGACTGATGTCCTTCACAGCATTGCTGCACAAAATGGGAGAAAGGCAAAAGAAATAATTCAGCAAGCTAATATCTATACAGAAATCAACCTTCTTTCTCAAGACACTGTTAGCCAATTAGATCTGCTGCAACAGAAAGTCTAGTAGTTAATTTTTGTCATGCACCTAGCAGTTAGTTAGAGCAGTACGTTAGCTAGTTTAGATCTTTCTAGAGCTCTTACATTGTATGTATATATATACAGATAATGTAGCAATGTAATGCAACAATGGAATGGACAAAGAATATTTCGATGATTTTCTTTCCTACTTTCAGTTTCATTTTCACTTTCAGAAGAAATTTTACAAATAGCTTATCACAACTTAGAATATTCGTTAGTCGAGAATCATGGAGACAAACCAAAGGCTTATGAAAGTGATTGGGCTCATTTCTTTGCATATCAGAAAAAGATTAAAAAAATAAATAAATTTGGTATAGGACAACTACTATGCTTGCTTTAAAAGAGTTTCTCATTTATTTGCATACCAGAACCCAAAAAAGAAGAAGAAGATATTGGGCTAATGTGTTGGTGTCCGACACGTGCTGGAAACTAATACATAGCCATCGGAGAGGTATCCGTGCTTCATGGTCGAGGAATAATCGTAAAATAACAAACCAATACAAATGTCCAACAATAATGATGAGGGTGATTTCAACTTCCAAGCATTCCAGGAAACTTTTTCGAAAACACCCCATTTTTTTAGAAACAATTTGAACTTTGTTTTAAAAATTATTTTCTCACAAAACTGGAAGCTATGGGTGTATTTTTTTCATTTTTTAATTGACACCGGGGTGTTCAGATCAAAGCCTGACTAATCCCATCCCCAGAGGTGCACAGACCCTCAGCAAGGAGTTTCCCACAAGTATACTACTATTAATTCAAGGGTTTTCTTCCAGTCTGATAACCCTAAGGAATTGTTAGCACCTAAGAGGTTTAGATCCTGAACCTTGGAGGGAGCACACCCGCAAAACCCAAGGCCTTGCCACCAGGCCAACCGCTTGGGGTTAAAGCTATGGGTGTTTTTAGTCTCTTTTCGTTGTTTGTCTTAAAAAATGAAAAACGAAAAACGAAAACATTGAAAATGTAAACTGTACCAAAAAGACATTTTATTCTCTCAAACATAAGATTCTTCTTTCATTTTACACTATCTTAGCAACCAAACAAAGCATTACTGCAGTCTCATAGGCAAAAAACCTCCCATTTCCCATAAATACCAAACCAACAAAGAAAACAAATAACAAGTCATCCTAGAAAAGGTCCAAGAACAGTGATAAGTTTTCGAGCACGAAAGCAAGGTACACATGATTTTCCATCAACCAGACGGAGCGTTATCTCCACGGCCAGAGCTCCTCGAACCCATTGAACTTTGATTTTATTTATTTATTTAAGGATTATATAGTATATTATGTAAAAATTTTAGAAGGTTTTAATAATTTGACATCATTGAAATTGTTAAAAAAATAAATAAATTAATTAAAACCTTGTTGAGAGTCACCCTTATTGAAGTACAGGATTCTTATGTGTTTACAAGGTGTTTTTTTAAAACCCTAATGTGAAGACTAATTTTGTCTATTTTCTCACTCTCTGTGCTCAATGGCCTAAAAATGAGAAAAAACTTCAATGCAACGGTGATACCACGTCATCGGTATCACCATCCAATAATTTCACCTTTACCCTCCAATGTATATGTGGCACCTAGAAAGTGGGGGTTGAGCCTCCACATGTGGGGTTTATTGTGTGTTACTGATACCGCATCATCGATATCACTGTTATACTGAATTTGTACTTTTAATCCTAAAAATGGCAGATGCTCATTCTTGTCTATGTCATTGCTCTCTTTGCTCAATTGCCTAAAAATCACAGTCTCACTCTTTTCAGTTTTGTTGTAGCAATAGGATATTAATATTTCTAAATCTTGTTGTACATGCAATTTGGAAGTTCGAATTGCTTTCGCAATAGCATTGCGAATATATATATATATATATATATATTACAGTATATTATGTGAAAGTTTATCACATTTATAGAACTATAGAACATGAAATAACAACATTGAAACCTTCAATTTGCTAGCAGCAATACACGCAAGCAACAGAATTGGCAAGTAACAAGTAATGTAGTGAAATTGAATGAAGAAGAAAGAGAGAAAAGACACGCCTTTTTGATGGAAGGATCGAGCCACTAGTACCAGCGAGCTTTGCACTGCTTGGCGGACTTGCGAACGAGGAGGGAAGAGATGCGAGCCCACTGGTTCTTTCCATACTTCATCACCGCCGCTTTCAGGATCTCATCTTCAGTGTTTTTCCACACCCCACCCTTTATCATGATCCTCATCTTCGCTTGATTTGGTTTCTCACCCCCTCAGGAGGACCTCCTTCTCCTTCTCCTTCTTCTTCTAGGGTTTTTTAGAGGCTGGTGGTGCAGCTGCCATGCCGGTGATGGTGGCCTAGGGTTTTGCCAAAGGAAAAAAAATACAGGTGAGAAGAAAAAAGGGCAAGAAAAAAAATGTACAATGAAGCTGGAAAACGAAAAGAGTTATGCTAGGATCCCAAACAAATTACCAATTTTTTTACCAAATCTTTTATATGGGTGTGGGACCCACACACATTTGACTTGTGTGGATCCCACACTCATGTGAGAGGTTTGGTAAAAAATTTGGTAATTTGTTTGGGGTCCATAGCATTTTCCAAACGAAACGAAAATTTATCAAATAAATAAGGGCAAATTACATATATCTCCCTCGAAGTTTAGCTAAATTACAAATATTCTTGAAGTTTCAGAAATTATAGATACCCCTGGGGTTTATATTTTTATAATAAATTACCCCATGAAATTTATATTTTCATAACAATTTGTCCTCTAATTTGTTATGCAAATAGTACCTTCAGGGGTATCTGTAATTTCTCAAACTTCAAGAATATCTATAATTTTGCTAAATCTTGAAAGGTACATGTACCTTGCCCATATTATAAATATGAGGACATTGGATCACTCTAAAAACCCAGAAAAACCCAATAAGATCTCTCCTTCAAATATTTCCACTCTTATTAGTGCAACTCCACCATGACCATGGAAAACCCATCTCAATCTCTTCCACTGGATGGCCGTGTCGCAATAGTAACCGGAGGATCTAGAGGCATGGGCCGTGCCATCACACTCCATCTCCGATCCCTCGGCGCAAAACTCGTCATCAATTACTCTTCAAACGCCAACCAAGCCGACCTCTTAGCATCCGAGCTCAATTCCTCGTCTCACCCCGTAGCCATAGCAGTCCGAGCAGATGTCTCCGACCCAGATCAAGTCAAAGCCCTGTTCGATCGAGCAGAGCAAGAATTCAATTGCCCACCTCACATCCTCGTCAACTGCGCAGGAATTCTAGATCCAAAATACCCATCAGTAGTCAATACAACAGTAGAGGATTGGGATTCGACATTCAATGTCAACACCAAAGGGGCGTTCCTGTGCTGCAGAGAGGCTGCTGATCGATTGAAGAGAGGCGGAGGAGGGAGAATCATAATGATAACGTCATCGCTTGTTGGGAATTTGTTGCCCGGGTATGGGGCTTATGCGGCGTCGAAGGCGGCGGTGGAGACGATGACGAAGATCGTGGCGAAGGAGTTGAAGGGTACCGGCATAACTGCCAATTGCGTTGCGCCTGGACCTGTTGCGACGGAGCTGTTTTACGCGGGAAAAACAGAGGAGACGGTGAAGAGGTTGGCTGATGCTTGCCCTCTGGGTCGACTTGGTGAGCCCAATGATGTATCTCAGCTTGTTGGCTTCTTGGCTGGTGATGCTGGGGAGTGGATCAATGGCCAAGTCATTCGTGCCAATGGTGGATTAGTAATTTAGTTCTTCTCTGCACTTCTTTATCTTTTATTGGTTTTTTATTGATGTTTTTCCTTTTCTTATCTATCAAGTGGATGAATTGGGCAAGAAATTTCTTTTTTTGGTTTTAGTTGTTGTTGATTTTGTTGTAATTTTGGCTTTGAAATCTAGTGCATGGTGTTTGTTATTGTTTAAGTGTTGGAATTAGTACCTCAAATGAAGTGAGTTTAGTAGAGCTTCATTTCACTCATAATCGAAGTGATCTTGTGCGATCTCATGTGTGGCCATCATTAAGTTGGGTCTACCAAACAGCTAGCATTATCATGACATCATTGGCAGTAACAACCTAATAGTAACAATAGATATATACATTTTATCACAACTTGTTAGTTACAATTACTTTGGGTTTTGTTTGGTTTTCAAAAAATAATGAAATGAAAGAAAAATTTATATAATATCTCCTCTATGATCACCTAAGAGAATTTCTCCTCTATGGTTACCTTTAATCATTCGCCTAAGAGAAATTTGGGATGGGACATTTCTCATGCATAAATATGCACGAATACCTTATTTTGAAACAACAAAACATGTGGTTAGCAAGCAGATAAATAAACCAGAAAAAGGAAAGAAGAATTCAAGAAACAGTTAAACAAAAAAAATTGAAGGGAAAAATTTTAAATAAAAAAAATAAAACCACAAAAATACGCTAGAAACTTCAATTGATAACATCTAATAATTTATTTACTATAATAAATTGAAGCACGTGCAACCACATTACACCTTTAGCTACAAATACAAACGTTTAATGCCTTTATCACTATGAATTTCGGTGATTAAATTCTTTTTACTGTTACCCAAAATCTAAATTGGTAACGATAACTTGTTTACTCTCCCTATTTGTTTTTCCCTTTTTTTTTTCTTTAAATTCTTAGCAACCAAACATTGCACCGAAAGTAGATGTTACCCAGAATTGAACCAAATGTATTAAAAGAACCATTTCATAAAACCCCAAATGTATTAAAAGAACCATTTCGTAAAACCCCAAATAAAGACACACCAGAGAAAATAAACCTATAGAAAACACCCATTCATGGAAACCAAAGTAAGAGAGAGATGATACAATTAATTAGATTTGTGTTTCTTAACTTAATTAGTTATGTCTACCCAAACAACTTCTCATCCTTATCCTTCAAAAAAACTTTAAAATTCCAAATGATTTAATGAACCCAAAAAACCTCCTCAAACAATTTCTCATCCTTCATCCTTCAAAAAAACTTCTTAATCTAGCAAGGATGCTTGGGATCATACACCAAGAACAACATGTACAATTCAGACTCAAACTTGGGTCATCAAATGAGCTACAATTATCTTTTAGCAACTTGAGCTTGCCAAGAACTGCTAAGTTTAGCTTACAGCCCAACAACTGGAAGGAGATTATGTTACTACTGAAAATACATTATGTGTAAAACAATTCAAGATGTCTGGGGAGGAACCCAAAGAAAATAGAAGCAAAGCACAATTTCTTACCATGTACTTAGCATCAAAAAAAGGATCATTGATAGCTACAACATCCATGTCATCCTTAGATGTTGCTATCCGTAATACCAATCTTCAAATCTGACCAAAACCTGAAAAAGTAAGCAATTTGAGTTAGTTCGGTTTTGTTAGTCAAAATAACTTCTTAATCTAGCAAGGATGCTATGGATCATACACCAACAATTACTTACAAGGTCAAATTTTTATCGAAGGAAAATAAATTACATACATAGTCAATAAACAACTGAAACAAAGAATAGTACGTGATGTTGGTTGAAGAACAACTGTAGAAGGTATTGTAGTTGCTTTGATAGGCTGCATACTCCTAGCAATACATTTTCTGTATGGTTTGGACCAAATCATTTTGTGTTCATAACAATATAAGCAAACACTACTCAACTGCACATAGAAGAAACAGTGGATTACTCAACTGTAAGGAAGATGGCTTGCCAAGAACAACAGTACCAAAAATGCTTGATTGAAACTTTGCAGAATTCAGATTGTGATTGAAACCAATAGACGACACCTGAAGCGAAATAAAGCAATAATAATAACAACAATGAGAGCAATTTCCCTGTCGCACATTGCAATCCATGAGTAGTGAAAACTAAATGATATAATGTGCAAACAAAATTAGAACCAAAAAAGAAATACACATACAACAGAATTAAGCAAAATCTAATAAGTTGTTGGCAGAAGTGGCACCAAACATTCTAACACAAATTTTCTAAAAAAATAAAGAAAGTTCTAAGGTTGAGAATTTAACTGAAAAAAAAAAAAATTACCATTAAGAAATCATTATACTATTTACCCCAATCTATAAAAAAAACAAAATCATTATACTATTTTTTGAATCAGAACAACCATGAGCAACCACGAAACAAACTCAAAAACATCACCAGCCAAGTGATAACCACCATTATGGATTAAAAAAATAAGAATATAAGAATATAATTTGAGAGCTGATATATGCCAATCATGAAATTAGAATCAACAAACTCTATTCATTAGCAATCAAACATTTAGTAGTAGTCAAGGATTCTTCAAAATTAAGTGAAATTAAGGTTTTAGTTCACTCACGATTAGGGTTCTTCACTTTGAATCTTGGAATCTCCTTCACTTCGGAGCTGTCGACTTAACGAAGAAAGATTTTCAACTTGTATTGTTGTCTTGGTTGTAGTGGAGTGAGAGACCCCAATTTATGCTTGGAATAGAGCATTCTATGATGAAGATAACCACAACATGAACAGATATGTTCACAAGATTTGGTAGAAATTACAAATATATAACCCGTAAACAAAACCCTAAAATAATCTGTTTGATTATGTTGATTTACCTTACGAGCCGAGTTCGAAGCGTTAGGAGCGAGCGAAGAGGGAGGGTTCGATTAAAAAACAAACATAGCCCAATAGAGAGAATCTTACCTTGCAAGACGAATTCGAGAGGCAGGAATCGAGGACTGGAGAGCAGTTTCGGGAGCAAGCAAAGATGGAGGGTAGGAAAGAAGAAGAACAGAGAGGTAGAGAGAGATAAAGAGGGAATGATAGGAGACGCGGGTGAGAACAGAGAAAGAGAGAGAGAGACAGAGAGAGAAGGAATGTGAGGAGACGTGGGTAGATGGGAAGCTTAGGAGAGAAATGTTTGGGAGGGAACTATTGTTGATCTGAACCATTAATATAAATTTAGGATTCATCTCAGTTGTTCAACTGAAATGTATCTTTGATACATTTTATATATTTTCAAAAATCGTTCTGTTTTATTATATAGATATTTTTTTTTTTGCAATTTACAATTTATAATTTTACAACTTCTTTTAACTCAATCCACATAATTACCTAGTATGGTAGTATACTAATATGATAAACTTTACATACATATTTATTAAAACCTAGTGCCAAAAGTGTTTGGAAAATTTAGTTCAAATCCCCTTATAATAAAATTTAATACATTAAGGATAAATATTAAAAAAAAAATCTTGAAAAATTCAGCATTCATCACTATTATCAGAATATTCTTAGTGGTTAATTTAATATTTTAAAAACTTAAAATGATATAACTTTTGATCTAAATATCGATTTTTAATAAAATTAGTATTTTTAGAATCCTATCATCAAGATCTATAAAATAATATCTATCTTCACTAAGGCTCATCTTC